GGCGGCGATCCACATGATTACAAACGGAGCCAACTCTCCGGGCTCCAAGCACATTGCTGTCAAGTATCGCTTTGTGCAAGAGAGGTATGAACGCAACCAGCTCGACGTCCGGTTCTGCGGGACCAAGGACATGGTTGCTGACCTTCTCACCAAGCTGCTCAATGGACCGAGCCATCGTCGTTTGTGTGACATGCTCTTCCGTTCTCAGCTTGAAGGGGAGTATTAGAGGCACAATCTGAGACGGTATACTTTACCACGTTGTGTGTCCTCTGGTACTTGATGTTGTCCCACCTTGTTGTGTAACATCTTGCTGTACCATCTTGGTGTATCATCTTGTTGTGGCATCTGTTGGTCCCAACAGATTGCTGATATCGCCTCCACCTGTCTTCAGTGTGATAGTCCATTCTCTGTCTCCACTGTGTGTGTGTGTTTCCACCTGCTATAAATGGGAGCGATCTCCCTGGATCGGTACCATTTTCCTTCTTGACCTCGGTCGTTCCACTTCCCTCCTTCTGTCTTGTTCTGTCTTGTTCCTTCGCCTTGCTTCAATCCATGTTCTCGTGTACACTTCGACTGGTTGGATACCTCTGTGACAATCGCCTTGTCCACACACATTACACTGTACTGGACATATACCTTTAATACTGATCCGTTCGGGCCTGGTCTGTTCGGGCCTGCTGCGTTAGGTCCTGCTTTGCTCGGGCCTGATCTGTTCGTGTATGATCTGTTCGGGCCTGACCCGTTCGGGCCTGATCTGCTCGGACCTGATCTTCTCGAGCCTGATCTGTTCGAGCCTGATCTGTTTGGTCCTGCTCTACTCGAACTTGATCTGTTTGGGACTGATCTGCTCGAACCTGATTGGTTCGGGCCTGATCCGTTCGGGCCTGCTGCGTTAGGTCCTGCTTTGCACGAGCCTGATCTGCTCGGACCTGATCTTCTCGAATGAGCCTGATCTGTTTGGTCCTGCTCTACTCGAACTTGATCTGTTTGGGCCTGATCTGCTCGAGCTTGATCTGTTCGGGACTGATCCGTTCGGGCCTGGTCTGTTCGGGCCTGCTGCGTTAGGTCCTGCTTTGCTCGGGCCTGATCTGTTCGTGTATGATCTGTTCGGGCCTGATCCGTTCGGGCCTGATCTGCTCGGACCTGATCTTCTCGAACCTGATCTGTTCGAGCCTGATCTGTTTGGTCCTGCTCTTCTCGAACTTGATCTGTTCGGGACTGATCTGCTCGAACCTGATCGGTTCGGGCCTGATCCGTTCGGGCCTGCTGCGTTAGGTCCTGCTTTGCACGAGCCTGATCTGCTCGGACCTGATCTTCTCGAACCTGATCTGTTCGAGCCTGATCTGTTTGGTCCTGCTCTACTCGAACTTGATCTGTTTGGGCCTGATCTGCTCGAGCTTGATCTGTTCGGGACTGATTATTAGAGGCACAATCTGAGACGGTATACTTTACCACGTTGTGTGTCCTCTGGTACTTGATGTTGTCCCACCTTGTTGTGTAACATCTTGCTGTACCATCTTGGTGTATCATCTTGTTGTGGCATCTGTTGGTCCCAACAGATTGCTGATATCGCCTCCACCTGTCTTCAGTGTGATAGTCCATTCTCTGTCTCCACTGTGTGTGTGTGTTTCCACCTGCTATAAATGGGAGCGATCTCCCTGGATCGGTACCATTTTCCTTCTTGACCTCGGTCGTTCCACTTCCCTCCTTCTGTCTTGTTCTGTCTTGTTCCTTCGCCTTGCTTCAATCCATGTTCTCGTGTACACTTCGACTGGTTGGATACCTCTGTGACAATCGCCTTGTCCACACACATTACACTGTACTGGACATATACCTTTAATAGGTTATGGGCCTCGGTTGTGTACTCTTCCAACCTCTCTTTCGTTACCCTGCCTTGCGCTCTCCAGCTGCTCCGTTCCCCTCCTGCTTCCTCCCTGTGTCTTCTGCTTGCTGTGCTCTGTTTTTGTGCTTTTAAAACGATTCAATTTCATCAAAAACCTCTCTGTTCGCTTTGCTGTAAATTGTCATACTTTTTCTTGTTTGCCTGCTTGCTTGCTTGTTCTTTTCGTTTTTCTTTGCATACGTATCCCTTCCTTGATCA